ATGTACATTTGCCCAACCAAGCCAGCTTTTGTAACCTTTCTTTCTCATGTACCAGCTGACTTTTCCACTATATGTATAACTACTACTAATACCTCTACTTATGTGGGCAAAACATTGTCAACAAAGGATCACATTATACTGCTGTGTCTGACTGTGTATCTGGCAGCCCTGCTGTCAGATGCATGGTCGTAAGTAGAGTGGTCGTATGTCGTGTAGGTCGTAAGTCGGAAGGTGAGTGTATATAGTAACGTGTGCGAGTTTCCTAGGATAGCCTAAGGAGGTTAGGTAGAGTGACTTATTGCCTTTGGGGTCCTAGAGTTATGAAACATTGCAGTGATCTTGGAGCAGGATAGGTAGATAAGTAGGTAAATACAGTGGACCCCCGGTTAACGATATTTTTTCACTCCAGAAGTGTGTTCAGGTGCCAGTACTGACCGAATTTGTTCCCATAAGGAATATTGTGAAGTAGATTAGTCCATTTCAGACCCCCACACATACACGTACAAACGCACTTACATAAATACACTTACATAATTGGTCGCATTCGGAGGTGATCGTTATGCGGGGGTCCACTGTATGTAGGGATCTTTGTAGACAACACTTTCTGGAACATTCTCTGACTTGTGGTAGGATGACACATAGTACTGTACATCTTATTTGTACAATATTATAAAGTTACATAAAGCCTGAGTGTGAGTGCATTCACTACTTAGGTAAAATGATTCCATATGCCACTAGATCAATTATTATTTTTATTTTTTTTATTAACACATCGGCTGATTCCCACCAAGGCAGGGTGGCCCGAAAAAGAAACACTTGCATCATCATTCACTCCATCACATGTCTTGAGCTGACTAGAGCTATTCCTTATTGTTCTGTAACTAGCTTTCTGTAAACTTCTGAGGTTCCTCCCTTGCCTCAGAAATTTTTTTCTCCCTGATATCTGTTGCTAGCCTTGCAACATTGCATAACTCCCGAGACAATGCACAGAGAGTGAGAAAGATCATGAGCTAAGGATTTCCATCCCCATATGGCTTGTTCTGAATTAAGATGCCTGTTTGTGATTTTTTTTTTTGCGGTATAACATGCATTGAAGTTATTTGAAAGCATGGTCCCAATTGTAATTATTGTACCTTAATGTACTGTAACTGTAGACAGCCTGTACTGTCTGCACAGACAGCCCATGCTGTCTGCCAGCTTAGTTCATATTTCGCAGCACTAGGGTGCTGCCCTCTGTAGCCAGGCCTCTCGGTGGGCATGCCAGCCTGCCTGCCCTTGCCTCACTCTCACTCACACAGTGGCCTAGCAGGAAGACACAACAAGGCCTACTAGTAGCTCTCTCTCGTGGGATGGCCCTGCCCGGGCCATGGGCACAACACACAAGCCTGTGTACCCACCACGACTTAACAATAAAGTAAGAAGCCTCCGAAGACATTTATCATTACTCCCCGCTACCAGCCTACCAAATAATCTTGTTAAACATTGGTAGTAGCGGTGGTCGCAGCAGTTGTTTGCCCAGAGAGAGGAAGGAAGAGGTATGAAGTCATCTTCACTTCATCATCCCATACAAGAAGCATCCGTCTCTCAACGAGTTATCCTGATGTCGTGTCTGCACGTTTCAGCATCCAGACACAGGTACAAGCAGGATCCAGCTGAAATTTGCCGAATTTCTTCGAGAATTGTGAGTGGCGTCACAGTGACCCCACGCTGTTTCCCAAGTCACGTGTTCAGCGTCACTTGTATGTTGCTGCTGTTGTTGTTCAGCTCAGCACAGCTGTTTCAGCAAGCCAGAGGTGAGTTTTGTGGCGATTTCTGCGTCCAGTGTGAGTTCTCCACGTGTTTGTGGGAGGAGGGGAGGGGCCGCTCCTTGCCTCGCCCTGCTGTACTCTCACACCTCACCAGCCTACCATACACCACTCACCACTGCTCACTCCCTCTGCTGTGTTCTCTGCTGTTTTTTGTGTGAATTCATTGCCAGAGCTGTGTATCCGAGTGCCCAAGGTCACTCGAAGCTACGTGGATCAGCATGCCACGTAGATCACGACACCACGTTGGGTGTGGGCGATGTCATGTAGCTCTACAAGCCACGTGAGTTACCAGATGTCCCAGGCCACATGCTGTGGTCTGCTGCCCGCATCACATTGACGTCACCGACAATGTTGCCTGACTTCATGACGTCACGATGTCTGCTGACGTCACCTCACGATGTCTGCCTGATGTCACCTCGAGATGTCTGCTGACGTCACCTCGCGACATCACGCCTGACATCACATGATGTCACATTGAGTGTTTCTAGTAATTAATTCAGTATTGTCGAGAAGATTGAGAGAAGATATATGTCGTGTGTTAATTAATTTCTCTCAGTCAGTGTTCTCACATGTTGTACAGCATGTACCGCGGGTGTGTAGTTTCAGTGTGTCCAGTGAGGTCTGAGCCAGACCTGAGTAGCACCACTGTGCTAAGTCACCCGATGTGACCAGTGCGCTTGACAGTTGTTATCAGTCAGCTCTGAGCGTTTGAGCCCCTTTGTACAGGAAGCTCTTATGCTCGTCACTCATAGATGTTCTGCAGAATCATACCTGCTATGATTCCCATCGAGATTTGTTTCACTTCACCTCCAGACCTTCAGAGTGCAGTTATATGTAGAGAAACAAGTCTGGGGACGCTTAGACTAACCTCTGCTGTAACTCCAACTGCCGAGAGAATGACACTCGTCAAGCCGCAGTTAAGCCCTGTCGGCAGGCGCTGTGTCAGCCTCGTGTCACAAGCTTCAGTGAGCAGCCTGCACAAAGATGTCACTGACTGCTAGCTCGCTCACTGCAATCTGGTGTATGATGTTATGACTCCCAGATGTTTTGCCCAGTCGTCTCTGCCACAACTCGCTCCACGCTCGCCGGCAGTGACAGCCCAGCGACAGTACCAGTCGAGAAGTGTCCTCCTGAGTCACTTGCCAGAAGTCATGCCGAGTTTTGTCGACGCCTCACTCGAGGGCACCAGCATGTCTTGCCCCAGGTTGAGTGAAAACCTGCAGCGACTCCTACGATGACTGCTTCACCGTTCCAGAGGAGACCGTACCCTGTTACGTCACAGCTCAGCCGCAGCGATGTCTCCTGTGTTGCAGTATCCGTCCAGACGCAGGAAGGCGTGCAGTGATGCCCTTCGACGCTCACTGCCTATGACCACTTTGTTTAGCACACCTCACATGTTTTTTTCTTCCCTCCCTGTAGGAAGTTTTTTTTCCATGTCCATATGTATATATATATGTTTTTATTTTGTGTTCTGTGCCCTGTTCCTACGAGAGAGAGACAGAGTTTCTTTTACCACCAGTATTGTCGTGTCGGGACGACGCGTGGTAGGTGGCTGAGCGTATGTAGACAGCCTGTACTGTCTGCACAGACAGCCCATGCTGTCTGCCAGCTTAGTTCATATTTCGCGGCACTAGGGTGCTGCCCTCTGTAGCCAGGCCTCTCGGTGGGCATGCCAACCTGCCTGCCCTTGCCTCACTCTTACTCACACAGCGGCCTAGCAGGAAGACACAAAAAGGCCTACTAGTAGCTCTCTCTCGTGGGATGGCCCTGCCCGGGCCATGGGCACAACACAAGCCTGTGTACCCATCACGACTTAACAATAAAGTAAGAAGCCTCCTAAGACATTTATCATTACTCCCCGCTACCAGCCTACCAAATAATCTTGTTAAACATAACGAGAGAGATGGGAGGAAGTGTAAAATATTTATTGAAATGCAGGGGTGCCATGAGCACAGTACGAGAACCGTGTTGACTTCTGTAAGCCAAGAATGTTGAACTTGTTTCCAGCAGATATTGGAAATATTGCTGGAATAAGTGTATCTCTTGAGAAAATTGAATCTTTGCCTCTGCCATATGCCAGATCATCCAGATTATGATGGCTGTGGACTTGGTTGAAAAGGCAATCAACAGAAAAGCCTGGTCCTAGGCTGGGCTGTAAGGATATCAGAACTCAAAATGTGTCATGTGTAAATCACAGGTATACGTGGAGTCTCACCTTTAGTAATTTTTTTTAATTTCCATTCTTGTTAATATTAAAATTTAGTTCTGCTTAATTTTTTTAAACACACTGGTTGTCTGCCACTAAGGCAGGGTGACCCGAAAAAGAAACACTTTCACCATTAATTAAAATATTGTTTTTATTATGTGCAACTTCAAGATAATTATTCTTATAAACCCCCACCTTGACTACCTCGCATTAGTATTAAGATAAAATAAGGATTTATTAAAAAGTTAACCACTCTTATCTTGTCTAGACTTTAGTTATTATGTACTAGGATTAGTCTGCCTGAAATGCTCCGGCATGATAGTGGCTTTCTTTGTACTTAACAAATCAAAATTGTAATTACACATTGTAACCTTTGCAAAAAAATAAAATCTCTATTCTTTATCATTCACATTATCACTGTCTTGTCAGAGGTGTGTAGATATGACAGTTCAGATGTCAAAGTAATAATTTGTTTGAGAGGTTTTGTTGGGAGGGAGGAGAGAGAGAGAGAAATAGAGATAGATAAATAAATTGAGGACATTAGCTTTGAAGTGAAAATGACTGTGACCTGAAGTCTACATGGATTGCTTGGCATGCATCTAGGTAGTTAAATCTTTTAATAGATGATATGGTGGGTTCAAATTCATTTACAAGAGAAAAGGGAAAAGGGAAAATTGGAAATTGCACTGGAAAATTAGATGAAAGCTTGTGATGACAAAGCTTGTGAAGGACTGTTAATCCGAGGCACTGGATTAAACTTGCTTGTCTCCCATTTCCCTAGTGCTGTACTATAGGTTTAGTGCATCCTCATAACTATAATAACTTTCATAATGCAGTTTTGCATGTACTGTACACTAGCATTGAAAATAAGACTTTACCAGGTTTGACTTGACATTATGATAATGCCTTCATGGTGACAATGTCTTTATGATGACGATGCCATTACGATGATCTTTAGGTATATAGGTATTTATTGTAATTTGCAGATTGAAAATTTCTTCTGTCTGGGTTCCCCACTGGCAGTGTTCCTGGCCCTCCGCACTAAGCCTTCTCAGGATGCAGTCCCAGACATTATTCCTCAGAAACTATGTAAGCGTCTCCTTAACATCTTTCACCCGGCTGATCCAGTGGCATATAGGTAACTACCGCTGCATTTACTTGCATGGAGTGAATACATACATCACTGTGTGGTTATGGGTTATTAGCCTTCATTGCCTCCCACCTTCTATATGCCTCTAATACCTCAATATTCTTAGAATGATCAGAATTTTGCAGTTAATTTTCTTCTTGACACCTCCAGCACAACTAGTATTCCTATTGTGTGCCATGAATAGTATCCAGAGATGAGATAGTATGATAAAAAGCTCAGATCAATTGAACAGCACACAACTAAGGTATGGTATGCATCCATGAGCCATCTGAAGCTTGGGTGGATAGTTACACTGAGTGACACTGGCCTTTCTCCTAAAAAACCTTTGGCCTTGCCTGTAGGCTGTAGAGGAAATTTTTATTTTTTTTTTTTTATTATCACACCGGCCGATTCCCACCAAGGCAGGGTGGCCCGAAAAAGAAAAACTTTCACCATCATTCACTCCATCACTGTCTTGCCAGAAGGGTGCTTTACACTACAGTTTTTAAACTGCAACATTAACACCCCTCCTTCAGAGTGCAGGCACTGTACTTCCCATCTCCAGGACTCAAGTCCGGCCTGCCGGTTTCCCTGAATCCCTTCATAAATGTTACTTTGCTCACACTCCAACAGCACGTCAAGTATTAAAAACCATTGTCTCCCATTCACTCCTATCAACACGCTCACAGCATGCCTGCTGAAGTCCAAGCACCTGCACACAAAACCTCCTTTACCCCTCCCTCCAACCCTTCCTAGGCCGACCCCTACCCGCCTTCCTTCCACTACAGACTGATACACTCTTGAAGTCATTCTGTTTCGCTCCATTCTCTCTACATGTCCGAACCACCTCAACAACCCTTCCTCAGCCCTCTGGACAACAGTTTTGGTAATCCCGCACCTCCTCCTAACTTCCAAACTACGAATTCTCTGCATTACATTCACACCACACACCGCCCCCAGACACGACATCTCCACTGCCTCCAGCCTTCTCCTCGCTGCAACACTCATCACCCACGCTTCACACCCATATAAGAGCGTTGGTAAAACTATACTATATAGAGGAAATGTCCATTGGAATGTTCGAAGAGGATTTGGAGTGCTCCGTAGTCTGATGCTTGTTTTGCCCCAAATTTATGGTGCTATGGCATTCTATTTCCGGTTTCTTCCTTGCAACATAGACGTAGAATGTATTTTTTTTTTTTTCAACAAACCGGCCGTATCCCACCAAGGCAGGGTGGCCCAAAAAGAAAAACGAAAGTTTCTCTCTTTAAATTCAGTAATTTATACAGGAGAAGGGGTTACTAGCCCCTTGCTCCCAGCATTTTAGTCGCCTCTTACGACACGCATGACTTAAAGAGGAAGAATTCTGTTCCACTTCCCCATGGCCTATACCTTGACAACAACCTGAATTTCAGCATCCATATCCAACACATAACCAAAAAAGTATCCAAAACAGTTGGGATCCTCTCCGAGATACGATACTACGTGCCGCAAAATGCCCTTCTCACACTATACCACTCACTTATTTATCCTTACCTCACCTATGCTATTTGTGCTTGGGGATCAACTGCAGCAACACACCTAAAGCCAATAATAACCCAACAAAAAGCTGCAGTAAGAATAATCACTAAATCCCATCCCTGGCAACACACCCCCCCACTCTTCATAGATCTAAACTTACTCCCTGTTCAGTACATCCACACTTACTACTGTGCAATCTACATCTACAGGACCTTAAACTCCAATATCAACCTTGACCTAAAATGCTTTCTTGATAGTTGTGACAGAACCCACAGGCATAACACCAGACACAAACATCTCTACGACATTCCCCATGTCCATCTAAACCTTTACAAAAATTCAATGTATGTCAAAGGCCCTAAAATCTGGAACACCCTACCTGAGAACTCTAGAACTGCACACATTCATCACCTTCAAAACTACCATTAGAAAACATCTTATCTCCCTGATAAACCCCATCAACTAACTACAAGAATACCACCTTGTGGTTCACACTTACTCACTCACCCATTTGACCATAAACAGGAATATTAATCTCAATCTTAAAATAATGAATCCTATGATACTCCAATACTGAAACTATGTACTGTGCCAAAACAAAAGCATTCACATTGCTAAACTCACAAACTAGTATTTAGTCACTTAGCCATAATACCAACTTACCTCATAATTTGTAATATTTTAAAATAAAGAATTAAACTAAGTCTGCCCGAAATGCCTAGCCATGCTAGGCGTTCTAGTAGTACACTCTGTAATCATTATTTAACTACATGTAAACCACACAACAACCAAATTCTGTAAATTCAACATTGTAATCTTTATAGAGAATAAACTTTGAATGGAGATAAGAGGAAATAGACAAGAACAAGAACTAGAAAGAAAATGGAAGAAAACCCAGAGGGGTATGTATATATATGCTTGTACATGTATGTCACCCTGCCTCGGTGGGAGTCGGCCGACTTGTTGAAAAAAAAAAAAAGTACGTGTAGTGTGACCTAAGTGTAAGTAGAAGTAGCATGACGTACATGAAATCTTGCATGTATAGAAAATGTTTACGTACTTTAAAATTTACTCCGTGAACAGGTTGCGTTAGACACTGTGCGTGCATGCATGTATGTGTGTGTGCATGCGTGTGCGCATGTGAATGCACATTTATGTGCATAGAAAAAATTTTTAATGGAAAAAATTTTGGAGTGAGACAAACAAGTTAAGAAAGCCTAGGGAACAAATGGATATGTCAGTTAAAAACAAAGTAGGGGAGTTAGTAGATGCAGAGCTGGAGGTATTGGGTAGATGGTGGGGAATATTTTGAGGAACTTTTAAATGTCGAAGAAAGGGAGGCAGTAATTTCATGCACTGGTCATGGAGGTATAACATTTTTCAGGAGTGAAGAAGAGCAGGATGTGAGTGTGGGAGAGGTGCGTGAGGCATTACGTAGAATGAAAAGGGGTAAAGTGGCTGGTACTGACGGGATCATGACAGAAATGTTAAAAGCAGGGGGAGATATAGTGTTGAAGTGGTTGGCATTTTTGTTTAATAAATGTATGAAAGAGGGAAGGTACCTAGGGATTGGCAGAGAGCATGTATAATTCCTTTATATAAAGGGAAGGGGGACAAAAGAGAATGTAAACTTATTCCCCTATAATTTTTATGGAGTATACCAGGTAAAGTGTATGGTAGGGTTATTATTGAAAGAATTAGAGGTAAGACAGAGCAGGATTGCAGACGAGCAAGGAGGCTTTAGAATGGGTAGGGGATATGTAGATCAAGTGTTTATATTGAAGCATACGTATATGTGAACAGTATTAAGATAAAGGTAGGGAAGTTTTCATTGCATTTATGGATTTAGAAAAAGCATATGATAGTGGATAAGGGAGCAATGTGGCAGATGTTGCAAGTGTATGAAATAGGTAGTAAGTTACTGAGTGCTGTAAAGAATTTTTATGAGGATAGCAAGGCTCAGGTTAGGGTGTGTAGGAGAGAGGGAGATTACTTCCCAATAAAAGTAGGTCTTAGACAGGGATGTGTAATGTCACCATGGTTGTTTAATATATTTATAGATGGGGGTTGTTAAAGAAGTAAATGCTAGGGTGTTGGGGAGAAGGGTGGAATTAAATTATGGGGAATCAGATACAAAATGGGAGTTGATACAGTTACTTTTTGCTGATGATACTGTGCTTTAGGGGGATTTGAAAGAAAAGTTGCGAAGGCTTGTGGACTACAGTGGAACCTTTACTTGCGAGCGTGTCCACGTGCGAGTTTTTCCAAATACGAGCAGTCGATGGGTCGACTTTTTGCTTTCATACGCGAGCAAAATTTCCACAAGTGAGCAGATCTCAAGGTAGGTTCCTTGACACTGGTGAGGGGCTCTTGCTCGTGATCTCGGGAATTGTATCTCATTTGTTTGTTGGACTATCTTATTGAAACTTGCGCAATGTATGATGGAAAGATGCTTCTTAATATACACCAAAAATGAAAGAAATCTGAGCATAAATAATGGAGTTCACTTCTCAGCAATTAGCCACCCCTTAATGGTAATTTTGAATGGTTTTTATGGTTGTATTCTCGTTTTTTTGGTCTCATTTGATAGAATGGAAGATAAATTACAGAAATAGATATGATTTTGATTGCTTTCACGACGAAAAGTACCTTGAAATAGAGCTCAACCTAGGAGAAATGGTACATTGCTTGGCTGTTTCAGTGTAAACAAATGACGTCACAGTAAATCTTATATTTTTTGTGTGAATAAAAATTACAACTTATTTATATAATAATAATAATAATTAATAATAATAATAATAATAATAATAATAATAATAATAATAATAATGAAAGAAATCTAAGCAGAAATAATGGAGTTCACTTCTCAGCAATTAGCTACCCCTTAGTGGTATTTTCGTATGATTTTATGGTTGTATTCTTATTTTTTTGGTCTTATTTGATAGAGAATGACATGAATGACATATTTTATTCATTTTAAAGTATATATTAGGTTTCTAAGTTATTTATATTGTTTATTATGTCATATTAGATGAAGTGAGATAGATAAATAAGCCGTAGAGTTGATATTAGCGAAATTATTGAAGTACAGAATTCCACTGAAACGGATTAATTGCATTTCAGTTAATTTAAATGAGGAAAATTGACGCTGCAAACGAGCAAATCCAGTTGCGAGCAAGGTCATGGAACGGATTAAACTCGCAAGTAGAGGTTCCACTGTAGTTTGAGAGGGTGTGTAAAGGTAGAAAGTTGAAAGTGAACATAGATAAGAGTAAGGTGATGAGGGTATCAAACGATTTAGATAAAGGAAAATTGGATATCACATTGGAGGGAGGGAGTATGGAAGAAGTGAATGTTTTCAGATACAGTGGACCCCCGGTATACGATATTAATCCGTTCCTGAGAGCTCATCATATGCCAAAATTATCGGAAGGCGAATTAATTTTCCCCATAAGAAATAATGGAAATCAAATTAATCCGTGCAAGAC